TGTCTTTTGCTTTTTCTTTCTGTCGCGTAGAAGTATAAGAGAATTTGTTGTGTGGAACAAAATAAGATTATAAAGTAAGATAATCTTATCGATGTAAATATATAGACAGCGCCAATAAATGATATATAAAGCTGCAAACCTAACCAAAGAAAAGGTAAGTGGCAAAAAATATATAAAGGAATGCGCTAAATACCAAATCACATGAAAATGCAAATAAATAAATACATAAATAAAAAAAAATATATCTATAAATGTCCGTAATTCATATATAAGTCCAATAAGGCAATAGACTGCAATCAGCCAAATCAGCACACATGGAACATCCTTAACTGCAAGTGGTCATCATGCCTTCATAACTTAACTTCATAACTGGAAATGCTCGGGGAATCAAAGAAGAGTATCATGGTGCAGTATATTAACCAATTCAATACCGGGCAATTTTACACCTTCCTGCCCAGACCAGTTTTCAGGTTTCAGCGCTCTCACACTTTGAATGACAATTGCACGGTCATACAACATTGTACCCAAACTAAAATTTTATCATTTTCTTCACACAACTAGAGCTTTCTTTTGGTGGTATTTAATCACCACAGGGGTTTCTATTTTTTGCTAAATTAACAAAAAAAGACCAAAAAGTTTGAAAAAAAAAAAAAAGTTTCTTTGTTTCTGTTATAAAAGTTTGCAAATAAATCGTTCTTCATAAATTTAGGCCGAGATGTATTCTGCTACATGTCTTTGGTGAAAATAACCCAAATTAGGATGTATTTTTTAGTTTGTAGGAAAGTTATAGAGTTCACAAACTATGGTATAGATCTGAATATTGATCAATCCTGAAGTACTGACAGCCAATCTAATTTCTTGAGGTCCAAGAATGTCAGAACAGTACAGATATCCCCCAAATGACTCCTTTTTGCAAAGTAGACAGTCTGACGTACTTCATAAAATACATGGCAAGTTTTTTGAAGTGTTATTTTTTTTGTCATAATTTTTCGGAAAATGAAAAAGTAAAAAAATTTGTCTATTTTTTTTTTTTTACACATATTGTCACCAGTGCAGTACAGCATCATCATATAACTGGCATGGCGGTGATCAGGGACACTGACTGGTGACAGTATGAAAAAAATATATATATTTTTTTTTTTATTTATTTTTTTATTTATTACATTTTTTTTTTTAAGATTTTTTTTTCATATTTCACTATGACCAAAGTAGTACAATGTTACCATAGTAACATAGGAAGTGATCAGTATTTTTTTTACACAATTTGCTTATAGCAAAGAATTACTTTGCTATAAGCATATATCCATTGAGACAAATAACATATTAAATAGCCGATAAAAAATATGAAATAAAAATGAAAATAATATTCACAAAAAATAAAACGATAAAATACAATCAATATAACATAATCTAAAAAATGTTTTTAAAAATATTAAAACATATATAATCACTATATGACCCCCTATTATTTAAAGGGCCAGTATAATTAATAATGTCAAATAATGTTTATGGGTTGTTTATATTATTTGACATTAATTATACTGGCCTTTAAATAATAGGGGGTCATATAGTGGTTATATATGTTTTAATATTTTTTAAAAAAATTTTAAAATATTTTATATCAGCTATTTAATATATTTGTCTCAATGGATATATCTGCAGAGATCGAGTGGTATTGTGTTACCAGAATGCTGCTTATTAATTGGTTGTAGCGTTGCTGCAATGCAGATTTAGTGTGTATATATGTTGGTATTCAACGTCTGTCATCCATGCCGCCCCTTGAAGACGTCGGATGATGAAACGCGTAGGGCGGGGCTTAGTGGATGTGACGCCAGGACGCTCCTCGAGACTGTCGGCTGTGATCGCGATGAGCGAGGCTCGTCACTGTTTTAGCTTTTTGAGACTGATATTGCTGATATTGCTGGTGTCGGTTGGACACCTTTCTTGTGAGTGCATATTGAAGGCTACAATAAAAATTATCTTTGTTTTAATATACTGCACCATGATACTCTTCTTTGATTCCCCGAGCATTTCCAAAGTTATGAAGGCATGATGACTACTTGCAGTTAAGGCTGTTCCATGTGTGCTGATTTGGCTGATTGCAGTCTATTGCTCCTGGATACTCCAACAGATCATCGCTCCCAGAGCAATTGCTATTTTTGCTGATTTATAATTTGATCAGCAAATAGTTCTGGTGAGTTTACCCATTTCATTCGGTGGTGGATTTTGATACGGTGTTTTTTTTCTTGTTTGAAGAGATTTTTTCAATCACTTATAGTGGTGTTTGGACTTATATATGAATTATGGACATTTATAGATATATTTTTTATTTTATGTATTTATTTGCATTTTCATGTGATTTGGTATTTAGCGCATTCCCTTAAGATAATCCTATCCACTGTATAAATATGGGTCAAGGAGGTAGTTACCCACCAGGTCCCCCAGAAAAGGGAGAAAATTGTAAGGATTATGTGGCCAGAGTATGTGGGACAGACAACTATTTAATAAATCCCTGGGTGGATTGTATGGCAGGTTGGACAGAGGCCATGGGAAGTACAGACCCATTCCCGAGAGAGAGGGAAAGATTTTATGGGAATTTTAGGGATTTCTCTGAGTAACAACAGAAGGAGGTATTGTTGCCAGATCCTCCAAGGTACCCATTATACCCGCCTATTTCAATGAGAGTCATCCTTCACACATCTCCTCCTAATACACATCCAGTTTGGGCCACAAATTCTATGGATGTAGGACTAATTTCATGTACACCATACACAGTCACACTCAAGGAAGGGGCTTTGCCCTACAAACATAGGCAATACAAATTAACACCAGAAAAAGGAGGAAGGGATTACTCCTCTAGTGGAAAGAGTTTTAGAAACAGGTATTTTAGAAGAAACTGTTTCTCCTTACAACACACCAATCAATCCTGTTAAGAAGCCAGATGGCTCTTACAGGTTTGTACAAGATTTGAGGGCCATAAATAATTTGGTGGTTCCAAAAGCCCCCATAGTTCCTGATGTGCCATCACTCCTCACCTCCATTCCATTCAATGCAGTGATTGATTTAACAAATTCATTTTTTTCGGTTCCTGTGGACCACCAGACGAGAGCGCTATTTATATTTATATTCCAAAATCGCCATATGACCTGGTGTAGAATGTCCCAGGGCTATGTAGATTTGACTGCAGTCTACTCACTTGCCCTCCAGACCACACTGAGGTCCTGAACCCCTCCCAATGGTTCTCATACAATATGTGGAACCTATTGATTTGTAGTCCAAGTCAGGCGGCCAGTCAGGAGGATAGTTGGTCTCTGTTAGAATGGTTGTCAGGGAATGGTCACAAAGCAATTAAAAAGAAACTGCAATGGTGCCAAAAACAGGTTGAATACCTTGGTTTTACTCTAAGTCATAGTGAGAGGAATGTCAGTCACAAAAGATCTGCGGCTCTCGTGGGTCTGCCCCACCCACAAACAAAAAAGGACATGCTAACCTTTCTTGGTATGATTGGTTACTGCCGCCAATGGATACCTGATTGTTCATTCTATGATCACACTCTGAGGTCTGCCACACTTTCAGAATCACCTGACATTCTCACATGGTCAAATGAAATGGTTGATGCCTTTGTGTACCTGAAGAATGCTATGGTAACGGCCCCTGGTCTTGGACTACCTGACTATATGAAAATGTTTCATCTGTATGCTAGGGAAAATTGTACAACCATGGTGGGGGTTCTGGCTCAGGAACTTGGAGGCAAGCTCCGCCCCGTAGCTTTTTTTTTCCCCAAAGTACTGCCAACTCAGGTTCAGGGCATGCCTGTTTGTCTGAGAGTTTTTGCATCCTGTGCAATGGTGGTGGAAATGGCTATTTCTTTCACATTGGGACATGAAACTACCGTACACACCACACATCAAGTGTCCTTACTACTGAAAAAACATACATACTCAACACATATCGGCACAAAGGTTGAGCGGATATGCAGTGATTCTTCTATCTGATCCCAACTTGATTATTAACTATTCTTCAGCAAATTCAGGCCCTGCTCCAATTCTGAATGCACTACAGGGGCTAAAAGGAGAACAAGATGAAGTGGCACCAGAACACAATTGTATAGCCCACATACAGCAAGACACTTCCCCTAGGCCCGACATGTCAGCTGTAGCTCTTGATGAGGCCCCAGATGTGTTTGTAGATGGCTCATGCTCTAGGCCAAATGATAATACTTACCATGCAGGATATGCCATTGTGCAACTTCCTGACAAAATACTCGAGGCAAAGCCAATTCCATATCAGTCAGCCCAAGCAGTCGAACTGATTGCCCTTACAAGAGCATGTCAATTATTTGCAGGACAGGATGTCAATATTTACACAGACTCCAAGTACGCTCATGGTGCTGTACACGATTTTGCGGTCATTTGGGAGAGAAGAGGATTCATTGCTGCTGATGGCAAAACCATATCCCACTCTTCCTTGATATCTGACCTACTAAAAGCCATACAGTTGTCATAAACATTAGCCATTCTTCATTGCTGGGCACATACAAATCGCAGAGATCATATTGCCAAAGGAAATGCATTAGCAGATAAGGTAGCATAGGAAGGTATTACAACAGGTGACCAGTGAACAGATGCCTATGCTCACTTCAAGTGTCACTAGAGATGAGCGAAGTATTCAAAAATTCGATTCGGCTGATTCGGCGAATTCGAGGAATTTGATTCGATGCGAATATATTCGCTGCGAATTTAACTTATAAAAGGGTGTTTCTAGGCTTCAGAGAGCCTTCATATTAGTGCAGAACACTGTACCTTTAATTTAAATGCCCTTGGAGTCTGCTGGGGAAGAGAAATAATACTGTCAGTCAGTATGACATGCAGATGAGTGCCGTCGATCTTAGAATCACCGCACACTTCACTCATTTGGGCAGTCACGGGGGCCAAAACCAGAGTGTGGAGCCACAGTGTGGTGGTGGAGGCAGCAGCAATGGGAGGCCATACAGCACCCTATGACAAAATGGAACCCACCAGCAGTGTGAGGAGACCTGAAAGTGGCACATGGCAGAGTGTGGCGATGGAGACAGCAGCAATGGGAGGCCGTACAGGGACCCATGACACACTCTGGACCTGGCAGCAGCATGAGGAGGCTGTACAGGGGCCCATGACAGATTACGGGCCTGGCAGCAGCATGAGGAGTCGGTACGGGGGCCCATGGCAGATTACGGGCCTGGCAGCAGCATGAGGAGGCGGTACAGGGGCCCATGGCAGAGTGGCGGAGCGTAAGCAGCTAAAATTGAAGGTGTGTTTATGCATGTGCTGATCAGACTGATAATAATAAAACTGTCTGCCTCTAATCTGCGCTGCATATGAGGGTTTGGGTAATAAATTTTCCCTGATGATTATTATGCCATAAGACTGTGTAACTTGGTACTGACGGCGCTAATCAGACTATTCATGGGGCTGTCCTGCCTTTGATCTGCGCCGCGTATAGGTTCCTGGGCAACACACCTTTCCCTGGTGATCATCGTTATGCCTTTTACTGTGTAACTCCGTGCTGACAGCGCTTGCGCATGCGCTATTCGGCGGGCTACATGAAAATGGCGCCCGATACGGAGACATTTGCTGATTGGAAAATGGCGCGCGATCACAGCGCATGCGCCACTTTCCTTATTTAGGTCCTATACTGACGTCCACCACTGTAAGCTAACCCCCTATGACTACGTGCTTTCGCACGAAACGCGTCAGAGAGCGGCTACAGCGGTGTGACGTCACGCCGACCGGCGCCACGAGGGCCCCGGCGGCCATTTGCTAAATCTTTGTATGGTCAGTATCTTTCCTGCCCCTGCTTGTATTGTGTTTTTTTTTTGGGATTAAATACCCCTTGCCAATAAGGTATCACACTATTTGGCCTCCTTTTGTTCTTTGGGCTCCGGTGGGAGCCTTTTACGTCTGCAGAGCGGCCTTTTTTCTTCTATGTGTGGCAACACTATCAAGTGGCGAGGGGCTTTTGTGACCAGATCTGACCAGATCCATATGAGCACCCTAGGATTATCTGTTTTGAATGCGCATTTGGATTGCGTATCTGGTGAGTGCGCAATCTTTATACCTTTATCACCTCATCCACGAATCCAGGCATTGGAGTTCTTTGAAGACTCTCTTGGGTTTTGACCAAGTTATGGACTATACTCATTATTTATAGTCACCTTTTTGCACTTTAACAGCACCTTTACATTGGTTTATATAAATGTGTATTTATTTAGTTAGCGCTGCACCTCCCCCTTTTTATGTACACTGTAAATATATGCACAGTGCTCAGCATAAATGAGTACACCACAACAGATTTGTCAGGAACCCTTTACTTTCTTTTCAGAATCAACATTTTCTATGGGACACGATACCAAAAAAATACTCCCACAAATGCAGGCCATTGATTACAAACAAGATTTATTAATTTGCACACAAAAAAGTATTTTTCCTAACAAATTTATTCAAGAACATGTTGCAAAAATGAATACACCCCAATGAAAGTCTTAGAAACAAAGTTACATTTTAGACAACAAAATCTAATTAACAACAATATAACTACAAGTGAGTATATATATTAAACAGGTGTCCAACAGACAGTTTTATTTATTTATTTATTTATTACAGGTACTTATATAGCGCTGTCAATTTACGCAGCAATTTACATATATATTGTACATTCACATCAGTCCCTAACCCTCAAGGGGCGTCCAATCTAAGGTCCCTAACTAACATTCATACACATACTATGGCCAATTTAGACAGGATCCAATGAACCTACCAGCATGTCTTTGGAGTGTGGGAGGAAACCGGAGTAGTCGGAGGAAACCCACGCAGGCACAGGGAGAACATGCAAACTCCAGGCAGGTGGTGCCGTGGTTGGAATTCTAACCAACGACCCTAGTACTGCCAGGCAGAAGTGCTAACCATTTAGCCACTGTGCTGCCCAGCAGTTGATTAAAAGGACGTTACTTGGGGGGAGTGCTCGTGAGCAGCTTCTAGGATGGCCGCATTGTAGGCCTGCTCCTCGGCTGCCGGACACATTGGCTGATTTCTAGCCCTCGGGGGGGGTCATCTGCCTTCCCTCCAGCCCCCCCCTAGCCCCCTGTCCCCGAGCCCCCCGGAAGGCAAGAAATCAGTGGCCGCCCGCGCACCTCCACCGCCGGAGGGTTCCAGGGCCCCGGCCGTGAGTTTGCATCTTCTGCTGAAGGCCGCAACTGAAGCCCCGGCCTCGATTTTGGGTCCCCCTCTGCCGCTACCCATGGGTGGGCCGGATCCCAGAGGTGATGACGACCTGGCATCAGAGGCATCCCTGCAGTCTCCCACTCCAGTTCTGAGGGATGCTGAGCTCCTACACAGCTTCAAGTCCATGCTGCAGTCAGAATTGTCTTCCGCTACCTCAAGCTGGACGACCATCTTTTGCGAGAAATTTGGGAGTTGGGCAATCGGAGGAACGATTTTGAGGATAAAATGGACGCTGCGGCCACGGTCATTGAAAGTCACAAACAGGATTTGTGCGACCTCAAGAAAAAATTAGCGGACGCGCTGCTCCGGCTTGAGGATTTCGAAAACCGTTCCCGTCGCGGCAATTTGTGATTAAGGGGTATCCCAGAAACGGTCACAGATCTCACCTCCACCACTACTGCTCTGTTTCAGGACGCCTGCCATTCCCACTGTCCAGCTCGAATTTGACCACATACACCGTGCATTGGGAACCAAGACGACCGGATGGGCCCCCAAGGAACATTATCATCAAGTTCACTTACTATCGCACTAAGTAAACTATCCTCTTGGCGGCCAGAAACAACCCAGACCTACCAGCTCTTCGTGACCTCTCCCAGACCACTCTTCAGAAGCGCTGCCAGTTGAAGCCCTTCACTTCGGTCCTGGTGAACCATAGAATTAAATTTGTCTGGGGCTTTCCGTTCCACTTCACCAACTACCAGAGCCGCAGCCACTCTGTTGCAATGCCGGAGGAGGCCCACTCTCTCCTGGAATCTTTACACCTTCTTTCGCCGGAAGCCGCTACTCAGAGCCCAGCTCATTCATTCAGATCCCTGCTGAGGCCACTTCATCTGGGCCGCCTCTGGGAGCGGTCATCCAACAGGAAGAGGGCCCTCCCTCAGACACCTCTACGATCAAGTCTGTCCTGCTCTTCTCCGGGCTGAAGATGTGTCTTGGAACTCCCACATTGTGTTTCACCGTTGGACTTTCCTGATGGGACCGTAAGTTTCGCACTTAGGGCTTTTCCAGTTTGTTAGCATTCCATGTTGGGCCTGATCCGGCTTTTCCCTTGGGTGAGTTGTGTGGGGTCTCCTCCTGGACTTACGGATTATGACTTTTTGCTGTTGTGGCCTACCACGGGTCCGGGTGACGTTGTTCAAGTTCCCGTTGGTGGAATGGGGTGATGGTTCCCTCGGGCTCTGGGGTGGGAGGTTGGCTTGATAAGCCTGGGCTGGGTTTCAGTCCTACTGGGAGGTGGGTGGGGGACCACTTGGGCTGTGTTGTGGGGTAACACGACGGCCTATAGTCATCCTCCTGGAGGGGGTTGGCCCCCTAGTTTAGCTGGGTTTCTATGGGGAGGTTACCGCGGATGTTCTCACTTCTGGGACTCATTTTATTACTTTGGTACCCTGCTATATTGTGTTTATTGCCTTTTTGCCCCGAGGGCTTATGTTTTAGATGTTTTCATTTGCAGCCATGTGACCGGTGGTAGAGCCACCCCCAACTGGCATCCTTCGAATGTAGGAGGATGCATGTCAGCCATTGGCTTGACACGATTGTACTGTTGTATATACTTCTTGTGTCATTTTCTTTTTTTCTTTTCTGGTTTCTGTTTTTGTTTTATGCAGGGTTTTGGGAAGCCATGGTCCGATCGCCATTGGGAGTGGAAATTGTTGGCCGACTTATGCTTTTTCTGCTGAGCTGATACCACCATGGCCTCACCCCTTCTGAAAGTACACTCACAAAATGTTCTAGGCTTCAATTCGCCTCAGAAGCAGGCTAAAGTTTTTCACCACCTCAAATCGCAACAAATCGACGTGGTGTGTTTACAGGAGACCAGGTTTTCTCAGTCCTCCGCTCCACGGTATCTTTCGCCTCATTATCCCACCTTTTACATGGCCTCGGCTCCTGAGAAACGCTGGGGTGTACTGATAGCTTTCAAACACAATCCCCCTTTTGTCTGTGCTCGGAAAATAGTGGACCCCGCGGGCAGGTATTTGCTTCTGCAGGGCACCCTCTGGGACCAGGTTACTTTTGTCTCTCATTATGCTCCCAATCGCTTTCAGCATAAATTCTTTTTCTCATCTTTGCACCATTGTTTCCTGACACTCCAAGGGTCGTCTTCTTTTGGGAGATTCAAATGTTACCTTGGATTCCACATTGGATAGGCGCTATGCCAGGGGGACGGCCCTTTCTCATGACTTAGTGCTAGAGGAACGTTTGCACTCTCTCTTGCAGACGGCGTTGCTGGCGGACTTCTGAAAGGAAACTTCACCCAAACTAAGCGCGACTTTACATTCTATTCCAATCCTCATGACAGTTTTTGTAGAATTGACCATATATTCATGCATGTCCAGCAGCTTCCCTTGGTCAGGCAGATAGCTATTCACTCTTCGCCCTGGTTGGGCCATGATCCCCTGGTACTGCTCCTTGCCCTCTCTGGGTCAGTACGGTGCCCCTTTCACTGGCGTAATAATGATTCTCTATTGACCACTCAGGTTACCTGCCAACAAATAGAATCTTTCTTATGCACATACTTCACGGAAAAACTTCTGTCTCTTCGGCAGTGCCCCTGTGGGAGGCGCATAAAGACACGGGTCATGTTATACAGCTGGCGGCGGTTCGGAAGCGCCGACTTTTGGAGCTTCATTCTCTACTGGCCTCTGCGGATGCTCATTGGAAGTCATTTCCATCCGCAGCCCATAAACGCGAACGGGACGCTCTGGCGGCAGAGTTGGATCTACTTCCCTCTTCGGAGGCGGAATGGGCCCTGCGTTGGACCAAACACAAATTTTATTCCTGTGCTAATAATCCGGGTCCGATGCTGGCCAGGAAACTCAATTCTGTGGGAAAACCCCATAAATCGATCCGATTGTGACTCCCCGTGGGTGGCTGTACTTCTAATCCCCAGCAGATTGTCTCCCGTTTTGCAGACTTCTTTTTGTGC